TCACTCCCTAAGACCATACAGAAAAATAAGCTCAAAATGGATTAAAGACCTAAATGTAAGGCCAGAAACCATAAAACTCTTAGAGGAAAACATAGGCAGAACACTCTATGACATAAATCACAGCAAGTTCCTTTTTGACCCACCTCCTAGAGAAATGGAAATAAAAACAAAAATAAACAAATGGGACCTAATGAAACTTCAAAGCTTTTGCACAGCAAAGGAAGCCATAAACAAGACCAAAAGACAACCCTCAGAATGGGAGAAAATATTTGCCAATGAAGCAACTGACAAAGGACTAATCTCCAAAATTTATAAGCAGCTCATGCAGCTCAATAACAAAAAACAAACAACCCAATCCAAAAATGGGCAGAAGACCTAAATAGACATTTCTCCAAAGAAGATATACAGACTGCCAACGAACACATGAAAGAATGCTCAACGTCATTAATCGTTAGAGAAATGCAAATCAAAACTACAATGAGATATCATCTCACACCAGTCAGAATGGCCATCATCAAAAAATCTAGAAACAATAAATGCTGGAGAGTGTGTGGAGAAAAGGGAACACTCTTGCATTGCTGGTGGGAATGTGAATTGTTACATCCACTATGGAGAACAGTATGGAGGTTCCTTAAAAAACTGCAAATAGAACTACCATATGACCCAGCAATCCCACTACTGGACATATACCCTGAAAAAACCATAATTCAAAAAGAGTCATGTGCCAAAATATTCATTGCAGCTGTATTTACAGTAGCCCGGAGATGGAAACAACCTAAGTGTCCATCATCGGATGAATGGATAAAGAAGATGTGGTACATATATACAACAGAATATTAGTCAGCCATAAAAAGAAACGAAATTGAGATATTTGTAGTGAGGTGGATGGACCTAGAGTCTGTCATACAGAGTGAAGTAAGTCAGAAAGAGAAAGACAAATACCATATGCTAACACATATATATGGCATTTAAGAAAAAAAAATGTCATGAAGAACCTAAGGGTAAGACATGAATAAAGACACAGACCTAGTAGAGAATGGAATTGCGGATATGGGAAGGGGGAAGGGTAAGCTGTGACAAAGCGAGAGAGTGGCATGGACATATATACACTACCAAACATAAAATAGATAGCTAGTGGGAAGCAGCCGCATAGCACAGGGTGATCAGTTCGGTGGTTTGTGACCACCTAGAGGGGTGGATAGGGAGGGTAGGAGGGAGGGAGACGCAAGAGGGAAGAGATATGGGAACATATGTATGTGTATAACTGATTCACTTTGTTATAAAGCAGAAACTAACCCACCATTGTAAAGCAATTATACTCCAATAAAGATGTAAAAAAAAAAAAGTGAAGTATTGATGTGTACTACAACATGGATGAACCTTGAAAACATGATTAGTGAAAGAAGCAAACACCAAAAGCTGCATATTTTATGATTCCCCTTACTTGAAATGTCCAGAATAGGCAAATCCATTGAGACAGAGAGTAGATTAGTGATTGTCAGAGGATGGGGACCAGGGAAATGGGGACTGACTGCTAATGGGTATGGGTTTCTTTTTCAGGTGATGAAATGTTCTAAGATTAGCTAGTGATGATGGTTGCATAGCTCTGTGAATACACTAGAAATCATTAAATTATACATGTTTGAAGAGTGAATTTTATGGTATGTGAATTATATCTTAATAAAGCTGTCATAAAAAAAGATGATGGAAATTCTTATCTGTTTCTAGAGTGCAAACTGCTCTTAAAAAGATTATAGAGGGCTTCCCTGGTGGCGCAATGGGTGAGAGTCCGCCTGCCGACGCAGGGGACATGGGTTCGTACCCCGGTCCGGGAGGTTCCCGCGTGCCGCGGAGCGGCTGCACCCGTGAGCCATGGCCGCTGAGCCTGCGCGTCCGGAGCCTGTGCTCCGCAACGGGAGGGGCCGCAACAGTGAGAGGCCCGCATACCGCAAAAAAAAAAAAAAAAAAAAAAAAAAGGTTATAGAGACTTTTATCCCTACTTTTCTCTTCACTGCCTTCTCAGCACCTCATTCCTTAGCTCTGCTGTTTACATCCCGCGGTTCATAGGGAAAGAGAGAAGGGAGAAGACTAAGGAAGGAGGAAAAAATATGGAGCTCTTCTAGACAATATCTTCTTGCCTCAAAATAAAGTGGCTGAAATTATACGATAGCAAAAAAAGAATTAAAGACATATTTCTACTGCATTAAAAAACTAAGTATGATGGCTTCCTTTGATGTAGAGAAAAATATCAGAACTAAACGAAATAAAATGAGTATAATTTAAACTTTACTAGTGTTTAACATATCATGTAATAGTACTACTTACATATAATTTATACATAAATGTACATGTGCCAGGGTCCATGTTTACAAACTTTTTCTTCATAAAGTTGTACAGTCAAAAAAGTTAATAAAAAGTTTGGAGACCACCATCTAGTCCATGGCACTGTAGGAAACAATAGCCTTTCAAGGTTAAGTACATAGATTTGGTCTGACAGCCTGAGTTCAAGTGCAGCCTATTCTCTTTAAATCACTGCTTACTTCAGTGTGTCTGTCAACATTCAATCAGAAAAAGACCAGGTAGTTCAATAGAGGGCATTTAACTTGGAGAACTAAGTCCGAAGGTTTTGGAAGGACTAATAAGTTCAAGAAGAAATAGAGAGGCAACCCCAAGATTTGTAACACCAGGAAGCTGCTACTTCTGTCAAGGCTAGAGGGACAAAGGATGGGGAAGGTGTTAACAGAGACTAGGAGCCACTGGGACTGAGGACTCAGAAGAGAGGGACTGTCCAGCAAGAGCTGGAACCATTGAGAAGCAGCCCCTGTGGGAGAGAGTGTACCACACAATGGGAGACAGGTGACTTCTCCCTCCATGGTGCTCTCTCGTGTCCTGCCAGTGTCTGCCATTGGCTGAACCCCTGGCAGAGGAGCCTGGGAAGCTTAGTTTACAGGGATTCGTCTTCCTGCAAAACCACATGAAGCTAGGGAAGGGCAAAGAATGAACACATGGTGTCCTCCTCTTTAAGAGAAGAATAACGAACAGTGTGAACTTCATAGGATTATTGTGGAGACTAAATGAGATTATGGGAAACCCTTAGTATAGTTGGCACACACTAAGTGCTCAGCAAGTATTAGCTAAAATTTCACAGTTTGAACTTAAATAGGGACACTGTGTACTTGAAATCGACACTTTGGGGATTCTAAAATATCACCAATTCATTATAAGAAATATTAGTGGTGTAATTAGACTTAGTGGAATTCTTTTGTAATACTGATATTGACAGACAGTTGAACACCAATAGTATAGGCTAATTGTGTTATAATGGCAAAAAGAGGATAACCAAGACTTAGGCAAATAAGTGGCAGAGTGTAGACCAGGGAACCACCATACAGGGATGCACATCCTAGCTCATTGGTAACTAGTTGTTTGACCTTGGACTCGGGGCCTCAGAGCTTTCACTGGTGAAATTAGCAGCCTAGACTAGATGACCTCTAATTTCTTCCTGTCGTTGCTATCCTCAGAAGGAATAGTACAGAGCACAGGAGGCCATTATTAAATTCACTGGTGAGAATGACAACTACTCTTCTGGTATATTTTTCTTCTATTACTGTTTTTCATTAAATTAAGGGAAGATTTCATTGTAAAAGTGTTCAAACTGACTTTCTTTGTCATGAAAAAAAATCAGGAAATAGCTTTCTTTATATCTGTATACCTATGTACATGCAAGGAACCTAATATTAAAAGGCTATACCGTAGTGTATCAATTACATCAAACTTCTAAAGTTGTTAGAATCAATTTAATTCATGTCCAAGCCAGTAAAAACAAATTGCTTATCCAATAGCAAATAATTTAGATTCTGAAGTGAAAACGTCACCCCATGTGTCTATTAACTGTCTCCAGAATTGATGTTAATTATTATGATCATCGGTAAGCCATGATCAATGCACAGTGTTGAATCCTGTGCAGCAGACGCTGCGTGCCAGGCTCAGAACAAAGCTTGGCCTCTGCTCTTTTAAGCTGAAGCTTTTACGTACCAGGAACTTACTAAAGTCAGAACTGTTGAGCTGTACCTTACACCCTTGGACTTCCTTTTCAGGATAGTTCTTTAAGAGAGATAGTCCAATGTTTGCAGCAGTAGATTCAAGGAAAATAATCTTTTACATGTATTGAAACTAAGTGCAATTTATATTACTTTACATATCATGCATCCTGAACAATAAGAAGTACTTGCTTTGAGGACATTAAACATATTCAAGTTCTAATTGTAGATAGCTGATCATTAACATTTTTATGCAAATATAAAAGTAATATCTTGGTATTTTTAATATCCCATTCTGTGGAAAGTCTCAATTATTCCTTTGATTTCTCTTTTCTTCTGTCTCCTTTTATCCTTTTGCTACTGACCCTGGAATTATCTGTAATGTGTACCAGCTGTTTCTTTTCTGTGTCTGGTTTTCTCACTTTATTATTCCTATTTCTTATTATTCTTATCGTTGAGCTGGAAGTTGGAAATTTGGATGCTCAGGAACTCTCTATTCAATTGGGGGTGTTTTGAGTGCAAAGTCCATGCTATAGCCAGGGCCATAGTGTCAGCTATTAAATCCTGGTTAAATAGGAGATGCTGGGCATGAGAGGGGAGAAGAGGAGGAAAACCAATGTGGAAAAGCAGATAGAAACTGCTCTCTGGTGGGAAAAGTGTAAGAAATTGTCCCTGCTTCTGGATACGTGTCACTGGGTAAATGCCACAGAAGAACCGAAGTCACACAAAAATGGGGAAGCGACAGACTTGTTAAAAGAAAAAGGAAAACTGGCCTATTAAGCTTAGTCTAACCAGCTTACCATTCTTTTTATTGTCCATCCCCCGAGCTTGGTAAAAGTTTTTGCCTCGTTTGAGAGCAAAACAAGTCCTCATCTTTTTGTCGTTGTTATTGTTTGGGGTTTTCCATTCTGTTTTTTGTTTGTTTGTTTGTTTTGTTTTGTTTTTGCTTTGTAGGTGCTCCTTGGAGTAGAGAATATTCTTTGAGCCAAGAGTAAAGAGGGCTTGACCTTTACTTTGGGGAAAAAAATGTGCTCCCAATTACCGAAATTATGTTTGCAGAGGAGAAATACTGAGAACAAATCACATGGTTGGATGGATGCTGTCCTGAGGGTAAGGAGTGCTTACAGTGACCAAGACTTTCAGGTCTATGACTAGGTTATGACCGATGAGGGTGGATGTAGCCACTGGGGATCCTCCACCTGGGCTGGGGGATTCTACTGATTACCAGAACCACTCAAAATGATGTGTTGAGGTTGAGAGTGGGGCTTGGGAGCTGAGAAGCTGAATCTAAGAATGCGGTCTCTGATCTGGTCCAAGACCTACATTTTTAGAACAATTCCCTAGTAGCTACTTTTAGAGACTCCCTTTAGTATGAAGCCTAGCGTATGTGTGCACCATTATCGGTATAGTCTAGGCAGTCAGTTCTTGAAATAATTTTGTTTATCATGGTTGTAGGTGAATAGCTCTCAGATGGCAGCTGCATCAGGACAGCAGAGAGCAACAGTCGCTGTGGGCTGCTTTTCCATCTGTTGGCTCATAGGTGGGTAGAATCTGTCCTCTCTCTTCTCTTTTAGCAACTCTGAACCTGGAGCATGTACTTCTGCAACCCGGCTGAATCATCCTCCCCTCTCTCTCCTCCAATAAACCCCTGCCCTTCTCTCACTAAACCGTCATGTTTACAATCTCACTTTTTTTCTCGATTCATTTTATACTTTGTGTTATTATTTATTAATTTATTAATTGCTTCCAGACTTCAGCTTTATTGTTATGAACTATTGTTAATATTTTAATGGTATTTATTTCCCTCATTGCTGGTATTTATCGCTTCACCATCAATTCCCTATTCCCAGCTGTTGTTTTGAACTAGTGTTATATATTATTATGTTTTTTCATTGCCTCTTCTCTCTGTCACAGCTGACTGCTTTTTTACCTCTCCCTCTGTGGACTTTCCTACTGTTCTCCCTCTCCGAGTTGCTCTGAATACTTTGTTGTACCTCTCTCCATTCACTGCCCTTCCAATAAAATGCATGATATTTTTCGATTCCCCTTTACCTCTTCTCTAATAGCTTTCTCTGTTGCCTTGGGAGCATTTTATGGTGCATTTATTCCCTAGAGCACAGCCAGGGTCCCTCTCCCTCTCCCTCCCCGACCTTTCTGATTCAATTCCAGTCTCCTCCACTACCTTCTCATCAACGGTTCCCAACACTCCCACTCCCAGGGCTGCCCTTGCAGCCTTCTTGTTTTTGCTCTGGACTCAGGTTTCTGCTCTGGTTTTCACCTCACCGACTCCTATCCCTTCCACATTTTCTGAACTTCTCCATCTTCTTTAAAGTGGTTCATCCAGCCTAGGCTTTTATTCTAAATATATAATATTCCTTCCCCCAAAAAAACTCCCCTACATGTATCTTTTCCTCTAGAATTACATACTAATATTTATTGAGTATCTCCTGTAAAACAGGCTTAAGAAACCATTGTAAGAGACGTAAATGTAATATCTCTTTTAATCTCAGCAAGGACAATAGTAGTTCTGTGAGGGAGGTGTTACCCCTGATGTGGAAACTGAGACTGAGGAGGTGAAATGTTTGTCCTGTCTTACATGTTAGTGAGTGGTGGGCTGGGATGTCCATCAGGTCTGACTCCAGAACACAAACTCTCTACCACCAGCCTCTGCCAAGCCTGTGGACAACAGCTGTCTTGACTGAGTGAAGGCAGCCTCTCTATTTCCTTGGCCCCCGTCATTAGCAGCTTCCCTGTCCTAATAAAGGAGTTGAACCCTCATTTTCTGTAGCACTTTAGCTGGCATTTTTTCTCTTCACACCACTCTGTTAAGGATATTCCATCTGTTCTTTCTCCTCCTTGGGGAGGAGAGCTGTCTGGCAGTAGACAATAGGTGCAGATGCAGGCAGCAGGTGGCCCAGGGAGTCTGTCACTGAGCAGCAGGAAGACATAGGCTGTTGATCAGGCAAATCTATGAAAGGACCTGGGGATACAAGGACCCAGTCCTGAGGGACCTGGGGCATCAGGCTGGGAGCTAAAGTGGAAAGTCAGGCAACAGATAAGCCATTGATGTAGATACTGGAACTAGGGCACAGGTGGGTTTGTACACAAAGATTGAGGTAAAGCCCAGGAACATGGACCGGGTCCAAGGGCAGACTGACATGAGGTAGAGCTGTGGACTGGGATTGGCTCTGTCCCAGAGTCAGGGGCAGATGAGGCTCTCCTCGAGGCTGTGACCTTGGTGTGATGTGATGAAGCCTTGGAAGGTGGTACCAGGCAAGGAGAAGTCGGTTTGGTTATGAGAGATGCTCTAAAAGTTGGACATGACATGGTGAATACGAGTAGCTTACATCATTCCTGAGGAATCCCTGATGGGACTCAAATTTTTTTTTTTATATTTACTTTTCTATCAATGAGCCAAGAACTCAAATTGGTTTATCTAAAGACCTGTTAAAAGTGTTGATTTGGATCAACCCATATTCTTTTTTTGGAGGTATGCAATTAGTTTTAAGTACCTAGGTTGCTTCTAAGAGTGGTACTGCATTAACAGGTTAAATAACCAGTAGTTTTGGATGCCTATTTGCAGAAAACATTTTGTTCGTTGATGTGGTAAGAATCATTTTCCAGTAGGAGTGAAAAATTACTCCATGCTTCATGTTTCTTATGGTTTCCTGTGACCAAGTGCTGGCTGGAGTTAGAGGTTTACTCTGTGGCCATGAGACCCAAACCTTTCCTGATCCATGTACCTTCTAAGGTTGTGTTTTTTTGTGTGTTTTTTGTTTTTGTTTTTTTGCTCTGATTTACCCAGTACTTTGTCTCTTGAATATGGTGGAAGTTAGCAGGAAATACCCACATGAAATGAATGCTGTTGGGTCCTGCCTGCATGACAGGAGGTGCAGCCCTCCCCTTCCTGCTGCAGAGTTGCCTGCTAACAGCTGAGCTGCCGTCCTTTCGGTAGAATTGTGTACGTTCCCTCCCTGGTCCCCATGCATCCTACAGCCAAAGGCCTGACTGGTGGGGGGGCACAAAAGACTTGAGACGGCACTGATTTTGTAGTACAATTCCTGCTCCATATCTCCCTGTGGGATCAGACTCCCTCATGCACTTTCTCTGGAAAGTCCTCTGTCCATCAACCATGAGCACTCAAATCCCAGTCTCCAGTTTCACTTTGACTTGAGGCATTTGGATAGAAGCGGTAGAAATAGGGCAAGTTGCTCATCAGCCTCTCTAGAGATCAAGACTTGTCCAAATTGGTGCCAAAGTCACACAAACCTGACTTGAAGCCACTGTTGTTTGATCTGAGGCATCTATGGGTCCCTTCAGGAGGGTGGATTGAAATTCATTCACTTTTCATTCCATGAGTTTTAAGTGTCAAAAAGCCTTGATAAATCGTGACTCTGTTACCAGGAGGGCTAACAATAAGATGGTAAGAATAGCAGCTATCATTATTAAGAACCTAATGTGTGTGGGTGCCGGGCAGTGTGTTACGCAATTTATCTCCATAATTCCTTTAACTCCTAAAATAACCCTGCTAGATGAGTGTGGTGGGGACTGCCGGTGTCGCCAACAAAACGCCCAGTCTGCTGGCCACAGTCACAGAGCTGGAGTGAGGCGTCCAGTGAAGGAGCACATTTCCCGAGCCCCTTCCAGCGGGGTGGGACCCATTGCTAAGGGGTGTCTCATGTCAGCTCTTCCCTTTTTGCAAGGAAGCTCCCACCATGAGGACAAGGATAAGGCCCTAGGGAATCACAGAGAACTATGCTGGAGAGAATCTCACTTTCTGCTCTATGTGTTTGAAGAAGTGCATTTTTTTTTTTTTTTTACATAAGATGAGGACATTTCTATATGGTTTGAACCGTTGTGTTTTGGGGATTCCTTTATTACAGTAGCTCTTATTCTCTAACTAATATGGTAAATATTATTATCCCCAGTTAATAAACTAAGACACGGAGGCACAGAGCAGATAGATAACTTTCCCCCACAGCAATATCAGGAGTGAAGATTCGAACCCAGATGTTTCTGCTCAAAAGGCCACTGAGAATTAGTTTGCCAAACAGTTTCAGTTCCCTAGAAAATGGAACCTAAAGAGTCTAGTAAGCCAAAGGGCCAGAAAAAGTCTTAAATGAAAGTGACATCAGAGGGAGATTCTGAGAAGCCAGGTGACAGGGCTCTGTGACCCTGTGGCACTGCCCTGGGTTGGGTGCCCACAGTGAGCACTGGGGTTACTCAGGGAGGAGAGACTACTCCTGACATTTTGTACTGAGTGTAGCCTGTAAGACACCCTAAAGCAGCACTTCTCAAGCTCTGCAGTGCATATCAATCACCTGAGGGTCTTGTTAGAATGCAGATTCCGATTCAGGAAGAGTGGACTGAGGCCTGAGATTCTACATTTTCATATGCTCTCAGGTGATGCCCATGCTGCTGGTCTGGAGACCACACTTGGAGTAACAAGAATCTGTGAGGTTTTCCATTTCAAGGGTGAGCATCCTAGACTTCAAAGAGCAATTCACCAAGAGCGCCTGGTACTTAAATTAACCAACTCTATTTACACTCTAAATTACAAAACTCTAATTCCCAGAGTGCCTTTCAGAGAAGTGCCTGGCCATCAAGACGCCTGGATTGTACCTTTTGTGCAATTTGAATCACTGGCTATGTGGATTTTGCTGGTACTGGTCTGCAGGTGATAGGATTTTACAGTTATGAGATGCAGTGGTATGCTACAGATCAAAATATTTTTCACTTATTTGACTCTAATCCACAGGGAAGGGGTGAAATGGCCAATTGATTATAATTCAGAATATAAATAGATCGAAGTCCTACAGCACATAGCAACAGTGCTGTCCGCAGAAAAGGAGCAGGAGCTCACGGGAAAATGTTCATGTAGTATATGAGGCATTAAAAATTCTGTTACATTATTCTTGCCACCAAGACTGTAATGAAAATGGGAAACAGAACCAACTTAACCCATTCTCATTACAATCGTTAGATTGTAATCTCATGTTCTCCCTCAAGAGAATGCTAAATGAGATTTTAAACAAAAGAGAGGACAGAGAAGTATGGAGAATAAAGGAGTCAATAGAAATTGGAAACTTAAAAAAAATGATGCATGGTAGACTTCCCAGTGTTCATTTGAGGCTTTCTCTTTACTTTAGAAATAAGAACAGAGGACAGAGCATTGCAAAGACCGATTTAAGCCTACGTGGAAAATCCATAACATAACCCAAACCCGGTAAGTATTTAAAACAAAAAGGAAAATGACAGGCACAAATTTGCTCTTACCCTTCAATAGCTGGGTTCACTTTAGAGAAAAAGACATGAAATTACCAAAAAAAAAGAGAAAACACAGGCAAAAAGACAAAAACAACAACAAAACCCTGAGAGGAAGAACCTTGTAAATATCATCCTCTGTACATAGTTCCTGTTTGGGCTCTCTCTTCATTTTTGACACTAGGCATGTGAGAATGCTTAGGTCATATGGATATGCTTGCTTTATCCACTTTCATGTTGCTTGCGGGAATGAAGAGTCTTTGAAGGTAACGTGTAAAAAATGTATAGGTGGGGGACTTCCCTCGCGGTCCAGTGGTTAAGACTCCACGCTTCCAACGCAAGGGGCACGGGTTTGATCCCTTGTTGGGGAACTAAGATCCCACATACCACGCAGCGTGGCCAAAAAAAAAAAAAAAATGTGTAGTGTGCATGGAAAATACCATGAGAGATACATCTTCCAGGATTTATGGAAAACCTTGGTATACTGGATGTAGTGGTGAATTTTTCAGAGAAAGCCATACATGCCAATCAACTTTATAAACATTTATTGAGTACTAATTAAGTTCAAAGTATTATGATGGTTACTATAAAGGGTCTAGTCTAAATTCATTCATTACTTAATGCATAAAATATTTATAGATCTACTATGGGCCAGACTCTGGAGCTGGGGAAAGAGTGTTAAATAGAGAGACGGGATCCTTATTATATCTAGTTGAGTGGTAGAGCGAGGCATTACACAAATAAACAAGTAAATTACTGTATAGCTACAAGTTGTTGTAAGAAATGGAAAATGAAAACAAGATAAGAGGACAAAGAGGGGACATCTAAATGGGTGGGAGGGAAAGGTCTCTCTAAGGAAGTGACATTTAAGGAGGACCCAGCAGGACAAGTAAAAAGTGGGCAGAAGAGTGTTCCTGGTGGAGAAGAGCGACTAGTTACCAGCCTCCTCGGTAGAGGAGATAGACGGGTGTACTGCAAGGTCTATTTAGGAAACAGAACCCACTCCAGGTGTTTCAAAACAGGGAGTTTAATCTGAGAAGTAAGTTTCAAATATTTGGAAGCATTGAAAAACCTTAGAGGCAATTGGGCTTCAACCCCAAGATTAGCTGCATCATCTCTACGACTGGGGGATAACAGGGAGAAGTAGTGTCCCCAGAGCCCAGAAACAAAGATGTTCTTGGGAGAGCTGAGGGAGAAGTTATCTGGGTGGGGGCCGAAGCCCTGGGGGAGGCTGGGTCACTGCTGTCAATGCCACCTGAAAGCAGGAAGAGACAGAGGGGGAAATATCCTGGCCTCTCACTTCTTTCTTCCCTCCAAGCTTCAGCAAGTGCCTCTCATTGGCCAAACTTTGCTGGCAGCCAGTTGGCAATGGGAACCAAGCAAATGTAATTTGCAGAGGGGAGGAGAAGTGGGGAGTGGATCTGAGAAGTGAACACCAAAATGCTGATCAATACACAATATGGAAACCAACGATACCTGCTATAGAAAAATATAAAGCAGGTAAAAGGGAGTGCAGAAGGGCTGGGTGTTGGTGGACACGATTTTGCACAGAATAGTCAGAGGTCACTCTGGTCTGGGGACAGGAATGGAAGAGAACGAAGTGCATGCAGTGACAGGGAGCCTCGCTTCTATCTGGGGGACGGTTTTCCAGGCAGAGAGAAGCAAATACAATGACCCTGAGGCAGGAGCTTGCTTCCGTGTGTTGAGGAACAGCAGGTAAGCAGTGTGGCTGAAGCCCCATGAGCCGTGGGGTCAGAAGGTGAGATCAGAAAAATACAGGGGGAGAGTAAGGCTTGGCAGATCGCATGGGAGTTTCTAGCTATGGTAAGAATTTTATTTATTTTTAACTGAGTGAAGTGGAAAGCCACGGGAGATTTTTGAGCAGAGCAATGGCTTGACCGGATTCAAGTTTTTAAAGCATTGATTTGGCGGTGACATGGGGAGCGGGAGAAGCAGGGAGAACAGTTAGGAGCAGTGGTGTGCTGGCAAATGTTTAACAACTGGCTCTACGAAGAAAAAAACAAGTAAATAAAATACAATTACTAGTTGTTGTAAGAGATGGAAAGGAAAATAGCAGGGGAATAAGAGAAAGACGAAGAGGGAAAATCTGATTAGGATAGGTGGGAGGGAAAGGCCTCCCTGTGGACTTGACATTTAAAGAGAGACCTGACAAGCCAGGTACACATCACAGGTCGTCAAGTCTGTTTCTCTGGGTTTGAATGGGACCATCTGTCAGCAAGTCCAGATGTTGGAGAAAATGTACTTAAAGAAAGAAACAAACATCCACTAGGGAAAATATATTCTTCTGTTTTCTTTGGTAACATATATTCCAGTATTTACGATGTTCTCAAAGGATTTGTGTCTAACTTGAATCCACCCTTCTGCACTTGAAGCCTTTTCTTTATTATGAGTAGAGAATGGAGAGTAGTTCACTAAGCCCCAAATTTGGTCTCCTTAAGTTATCCACATGCGATTCTTGGGGCTGAACCTTGGTGTAGCTGAACTGCTCTCCCTGCCACGTTAGTCCTTGATGACTGATCCCTTATTTTGGCGAAGTTAGGGAGAATATCGACAAATCTGAATGATGTTGCGAGTCACCTGAGCTGTTGCACCAGCCTGTTCAGAATTTCTTATAGCCTCTGGATACCAGCACTAAATAAGATGCAGAATGAGCCACAAAGGGACCTGCCCTGAGGGTTTTGCAATTCCCACTGTCGAAGCCCAAGGATTCCTGAAGCGAGTGGAGGAAATGAGAAGAAAAACCAGCTGAAACAGTTCATTGAACCTGCTCTGAGTTTATATGTTGTGTTGTTTTGACAGCTTTTTATAAGCGTGTTGCATGGATATGGTAATGGAGATGGAGAAACAAAGGTGGAAATTGAACAGGCACATAAATACAGAAAAATTACCAACACAGTATATATACACTATTATACAATTATATCAAAGCAATGTTGTATTTCAGGAACATCTCTGCTCTATTTACTGTTTTTCAGGTAAAGAATATGGTTTTAAATGAGAGAGACTTTGAAGGGATAATGAATAAATCTAGGAGGAGTATGCTATTGTTGAGAGCATGTGGTGGTAATTCACAAGAAGGAGGAAAGATTTAGGCTAGTAACATAAATGTGTAACACTGCTAATGCAAGTGTGGCATTAGGCCAGAAACGGCAAAAAAAAAAGAATACAGAAAGAGAGAATAGCCTCGGGAAATGATCAAGGTTGTGAATAGAGAAACAGTAATGATTGGTCGTGCTAGATGGCTTTGCTACAGATATATTTTGTAGACGGCAGTTGGTTCGTGCCCATTTTACAGGTCAAAACGTGAACTTATTGTTTACTACAAATCTCATTGTCTTATTTCTTGGTCCTATGTCATATATTTATATACGTGTGTGTGTGTGTGTATATATATATATATTTTTGGTACTTCTTTTTGTTTTCTTTTTTAGCATCTTTATTGGAATATAATTGCTTTACAATGTTGTGTTACTTTCTGCTATATAAGAAAGTGAATCAGCTATATGTATACATATATCCCCATATCCCCTCCCTCTTGCATCTCCCTCCCACCCTCCCTATCCCATCCCTCTAGGTGGTCACAAAGCACCGAGCTGATCTTCCTGTGCTATGTGGCTGCTTCCCACAAGCTATCTATTTTACATTTGGTAGTGTATATATGTCCATGCCACTCTCTCACTTTGTCCCAGCTTACCCTTCCCCCTCCCCGTGTCCTCAAGTCTATTCTTTATGTCTGCGTATTTATTCCTGTCCTGCCCCTGGGTTCATCAGAACCATTATTTTTTTAGATTCCAAATGTATGTGTTAGCATACGGTATTTGTCTTTCTCTTTCTGACTTACTTCACTGTGTATGACAGACTCTGGGTCCATCCACCTCAATACAAATAACTCAATTTTGTTTCTTTTTATGGCTGAGTAATATTCCATTGTATATATGTGCCACATCTTCTTTATCCATTCATCTGTTGATGGACACTTAGGTTACTTCCATGTCCTGGCTATTGTAAATAGTGCTGCAATGAACATTGTGGTACATGACTCTTTTTGAATTACGGTTTTCTCCAGGTATATGCCCAGAGGTGGAATTGCTGGGTCGTAGGGTAGTTCTATTTTTAGTTTCTTAAGGAACCTCCATACTGATCTCCGTAGTGGCTGTATCAATTTACACTCCTACCAACAGTGCACGAGGGTTCCCTTTTCTCCACACCCTCTCCAGCATTTATTGTTTGTAGACTTTTTGATGATGGCCATTCTGACCAGTGGAGGTGATACCTCATTGTAGTTTGATTTGTATTTCTCTAATGATTAGTGATGTTGAGCATCCTTTTATGTATTTGTTGGCAATCTGTATATCATCTTTGAAGAAATGTCTATTTAACTCTTCTGCCCATTTTTGGATTGGTTCGTTTGTTTTTTTGATATTGAGCTGCATGAGCTGCTTGTATATTTTGGAGATTAATCCTTTGTCAGTTGCTTCGTTTGAAAATATTTTCTCCCATTTAAAAAAAAAGTCTTTATTGGAGTATAATTGCTTTACAATGGTGTGTTAGTTTCTGCTTTATAACAAAGTGAATCAGTTATACATATCCATATGTTCCCATATCTCTTCCCTTTGCGTCTCCCTCCCTCCTACTCTCCCTATCCCATCCCTTTAGGTGGTCACAGAGCACTGAGCTGATCTCCCTATGCTATGCGACTGCTTCCCACTAGCTGTCTATTTTATGTTTGGTAGTGTATATATGTCCATGCCACTCTCTCACTGTGTCCCAGCTTACCCTTCCCCCTCCCCATATCCTCAAGTCCATTCTCTAGTAGGTTTGTGTCTTTATTCCCGTCTTACCCCTAGGTTCTTCATGACATTTTTTTTTCTTAGATTCCATATATCTGTGTTACCATACGGTATTTGTCTTTCTATTTCTGACTGACTTCACTCTGTATGA